TTAGGTAGGCAGGGAGAAAGATGACGATTACAATACATTAATAAAGGGTTTTATCGTGAACGAGACGTTGAAGTAATTTTTTTCAAATGCATTAAAGATATTTTTATCAAGTACAGTTATGCATTGATCAATAATCAGATGGCTGATTTTTTAGCTGCTTTTCCATTCCATGTGAGACATGTTAAAGATAAGACATCGTAGAAATTTTCATTCCATGTAAGACACGATAAAAATTAGACATTGTAGGAATTCCCAACAAATAAAAAAAAAAAAGAAGAAGAAAAGCAAAATTGGGCAAAGTAGTTTCTTGCCAAATAAAAAAGCATCAAACATGTTGTCTAGTTCACATTTTACAAAGCCTTTTCTTTTTTAGAGGATGCAACTTTAATTGTTCATCCATCAACGAACTAGAAGCATCATAAGAAATGATATAAATATTATATATATATATATATATGATAGAATTAGTCTCGCATTTAGTTGTGTAATTATTTTTTATTTTTTAAATTATATTTTAAATATGATAGAAATAAAATTTTTATATTAAATATAACATATGATAATATATAAAAAATATAAATATATTTATTTTTAATATAAATTATAATTTAATTATATATAAATATAATTTTTATTAAATTAAGATATTAAATAATATCTTTATTAATATAATCAATAATATAAATTAAATAAATAAAAAATATTCTTTTATATATCATGAGGAGTATAGGGATAGAGCACTCTAAACTCACTCCCAACTTGATCCAAATTATTTAAAGAGATAAAACTTAATGCAATCTTTATTTTTTTTTTTTTAAAAAGTTGTATCTATTGGATTTTGATTAATTGAAACTCATTGCATATTGGTTGTTTTATCATTTTAATGTCCATTGACTTTTTCTTTACAAATTTTATTTAATAAAAAAATTTAAAAGCAAAGAAAATGACAAAAAAAGTCAAATGAGGTGGCATGTGAATTTATTAAATTAAATTACTATATAATATTTTTTAATGTAATACATATATAAAAATTAAATTAAATAACTAATAAAATATTTTTTATATATATATATATATATACATATACATCAATGCTAAGGTGTAACACTCAAAACCATACTCTTACTTGAACTCGATTTAAAAAAAAAAAACTTAATCCAATTATCACCAATTAAAAAAATGCACCAATTAAATCAAGACAAATCAAAATTTATTAGATACGAATTATTTGTTATTTCTATCTCAATTGATTTTTTTATTAAAAAATTTATCTAATAAAAAAATGAAAGTAAAATTAAAAAAAAAGGAAAGCCAACAAAATAAAAAAAGGAGAGAGGTGTCACGTTGATATCCAAAACAAGGCAAAACACCTTAAATCTATATCCAATCCAATTCCATTTTTAAAAAGAAAAGAAAACTCAACCCAACTATAAGATAATTAAAGTTAAAAACTCTAAAAAAAAAAGCAAAAAAAAAAGAAAATAAAAAAGAAAATTGTGTAATAAAAAAATAAAGTGGAAAAGCAAAAAAGAAAAAGAAAAAACAATTTAAAAGTCAAAAAAAAAAAAAAAACCAATTAAAAAATAAAAATAAATAAAATAGAGAAGCGTCACGTGGACACTCTCCTTTTGCACCAATCTGTATAAAATTTATATTATTAACTAGATGCAGACCCTTGCTTCTTTAAGAAAATCTAGTAATAAATGAATGAAGACAATAAAAATATTTTTTTCAAGTTTTGTATCTTAAGGTTATCCAATGAAGATATCGAACATAAATGGTTGAAATTGAAAAAAAAAAAGTTATATTGAATAGGATCTTAAAAATTTAATTTGAAATGCATAATTATAGGTCCAAAGGATAATTAAAAACATAATTCATATAAAATATATATACAATTTTGAGTTTTTTCCTCAACTAAGGCACTCATTAACCTAATTTACTAAATTAGAGTTGTTTTAAACAAAATTCTTAAATTGATGTAGTATGTACACGTGGATTCCACCTCAGATAAAAAATAAAAAATAAAAAATATTTAATTAAGTATAATCTTCTCAAAATTCAATTAAAAAGGATTTGCTCTTCTTCTCCATTACTAATAGAGATCAATCTTTACGAATTTTAGAAGAAAAATCGATCTCATGATCCTAAAACTCTAAACACTAAGTTAAGATGGGATAGAAAACCCATCTTTATCCAGGAGACTAAATTGGATTAATGTGATAATAGGAGAATTGAGAGGATACAGGACTCTGATAATGGTAATTGGGTTTCAAGTCTAGTTAGCGGGAGATCGAGAGTGTTTTTATCAGTAGGGGAAAATGGTTCCTTTAATAAGAGCTCGGGTGTGATCAATTATAGCTATATAAGGCCTATGATTGATTTGCTCTTATTAAGGGAATGGATCTTATATATATTTTATTGCTTTGTGGTAAATGTTTGGTTTTATGAGATTTGGTTGATAATTAATTGATGTTATGGGGTGTGGATTTTTGGAATTTGAGGCTGTAAAGCAAATTTAAGTTTGCTCTTGGTGGTGATGTTTCATTTCGATAATTGTAATAAATTTGATAAGCGATTGAATTAGCTAATTTTGCAGACAATAGATTGAGTGGAAAAGAATTTTCATGATGATCTTGGGATGGAAGTGAAAATTGGTTTGGATGATGGAAAATGATAAGCTTATAAGGCAAATGTATTTAATTTCTTCTTGAAGTTTGCTGCGACCCCTGTTTGCTGGATCAACATTTGGATAATTTTGAGGGCTATCTAGCGAAATGTATATTGGGATGTTGGGAGGTTGCATAATGAGGCTTATGGAGAATATCAATTTGCTATGTTGTTCTTTAGACGTGTCAAGAAAAGTTGCTATAGAGGGAATGATTTTGCAATGTTCCTTAATACTATCCCTTTTTTTATCTTCAGTCAGTGAAGTCAAAAGTGTTATGTATGTTTTCATGACATGTCCTTTTAATAGGTTTGAGTTTAAGGAAAACAAGGTAAGGCAATACGTGTTGGGGAATTAAGGGATTATTCTAGTTGAGTTTTGGGACTGTTTTTTTTTTTTTTTGTATTGCTTGGCTTCAAGATGTTAATATTGTTGATATCTAGGTAATTATAATGGTGCTGCAGGTTTTTCAAAGTCTTCTTAAAGTGTTCTTTTTTTTTTTTGGCTGACTCTCACTCAATGATATCATTATCTTGGGTCTATAAAGCTTGAATTCAGACTTTGGAAGGAATGGGACACTGTGAATGAGATTGATAAGCTTAGTAAGAAGATTGGAGTGATTGATTTTGTTCATATGTTTAGAAAAGCTAATGTTTTGCTAACTCTTTAGCTAAGTAGGGTGGATTAAGCTGGTTTCATTTTTGTTTGGTTGTAAGCTATTTTGATTTTTAGAGGAAGATTTGGTTTGAGCTGTTGTTGGTTTATTGAGGCTTTGTTTTGCTGATCTTTTTGAACCAGGCTTTTATGTATTGTAATTGCTGACTTTTTATGAATAAAAATGATCTTTATGGTTGAGAAAAAAAATTAGAAACAGAAACCAATCCACTAGATTGTTTTAATTACTGATGCAAAATCCTCGTATATTTTTATATCAATTTTCTTCCTGTTTCGTGTTTCCTTTTTTTTTATGGAACAACTGATTTGTAATATTCAAATATCAAGCCTTTTACTTTATTCCAAAACCTCACCCGCATTCACAAAGGCAATATCTTGAAAATAATTTGCTTAATGGTGATTTTTTGCTTTCACTGTCAATGAAGGAGAACCATTCAAATGATCTAGTCAATGGGTATTTTTATTATTTGAAAATTTTAAAGGTATTTTCTTATTATGAAAGAGAACTATCCATTGCTTATAAGAACTGCTGGATTTGGAAGGAGAATAACAAAGCTTAATCAAGAGTGACCTTAAATTTTTGTATTTGGATTTTGTTCATTTTACTTTCTCAATATTTCAATTTTGGAGATTATTATTTCATTCTTAGCCAATGTCCTTGGCAAAAGATTAAAAAAAAAAGAGAAATTAAATAGTCACAGACTCATCGAACTCGCAGGGAGTTAGAGAAGAGGGGGATTGGAGAAAGAAGAGTGATGTCGAATTTTTTTGCTGACATGGATTTAACTGTACAACACTACACGCTTTTGGCAATAAAGTGTAAAAGCACACCATTTAAGGAAATAAGATTACAAAATATCTTTGTTTGGGAAAAAACTCAAACAATTTTTTGAATTCAAATTTTTACGAATATATGTCTTTGACTTTTTGCAATCAATGCAGATACAATTAAGTTTCATTTCAGATCAATTTAGACAATTTTTCAAATTCAATCAAAATTTTGCCACCTCTACACAATTTGTTCCATAACTGGTTAGGCAATCAGTCCTCCATAAAAATTTCCAAAGCACTCTCTGTCTTTTTCTGGCTGTTCCAAAAATCATTTTGTTGCCTAAACACCCGGTTGAAGCAACTTGTATTTTCAATGTTTTTGGCTACCATCAAATTCTGGGAATTCTATTTGGCTGCCATCATGTCGGCAATCTTCCGTAAGAATTTCCTTAGGTTCTCTGAATCTCTCTGATTTGGTTTATCTAAAACAAAATTTGTTGCTTGAAATTACAGTTGAAGCTTTCCTTTACAAATTACAATACCATAGAGGAAAATTAGAAGTACATGTCTGTTTCTTAAAAAAAAAACCAAAAACCTAAACTTCTAAAACTTTGATTCTGCATCAGATCATAAAATGGTCTACATTCAGGTCTCGTTAGCCCTTTAATTCTCACAGTTGAGTAGCAAAGTGGCTTTGCTGAATATCAGACTCATCACCACGAGCAAGTGCACCTGTCAAGCATGATATGAAAGGGCTTCTCTAAGGCTTTCTTACTTGCTATAAAAATGGAAATCAAATATGGAAGTCTAACAAGGATTTCCAATACTAACAATTAAATAAAAGATGATAACTACCTTTTCCTTGAACATTGAAGATAAGTTTTATTCAAAGATAACACCGAAAGCCACAGATTTTGCAAAAGAAAGACCAAACCTGAAAATAAAACAGTACATATTGCTACACAAATGTAACACAAGCCCATAAATACAAATTTACAAATTAAGACACCCATATCATCAAAGTTGAACAAAATGTAAAGCAAGCTATCCACTAAGAACACCCTGAATCATATCTTCAAACCACTGCCACTGAAAATGAAGATAGACGACAGAACACATACTCTTTCTAGTTAAATCTTACAGAAGCTGAGGTGCACCTTCCCTTGGATTCAGTTCGAAAGCCACTGTGACAAATAGAAGGAAAAAATTAAGTCTAGATTACGAAATCAATGCGAGAACTAATAGCAGTTCTACTTTGTCTATTTAAAATAGTTAAAACTCACCTAAGCATTTTGGATGCAGTGCTTGTTTCTTCTTCCTCGATTTCTTCCAATCCACCTTGTAACTTTCCACTGCAAATCTATCTCAACCATTCTGACAAACCACCATAGCCTTCCGGTTGTGAACACTATGTATCCGGTGCTCAATCTTAGCACCAGTCCACATCCATAACCTATCATTGCAAGTTTCAAAGTGGTCAATGATTTCAAGATTCTTCCCTGAAAATAGCTCAAAACTAGTCAGTAGGTTGTGAGAAAGATTTAAAGTGGCTAATTGTTCCCAACCTTCTAATTCCCACTTGTAAAATGAAGCTTGAATTTTGTTATAGGAAAGTGTAAATATTTTATTTTGTTCGGGATTTTTTCAATATTATTTACTCTCGGGTTTTAATTTGATATTGGATTCTTAATTATGTGATTGATTTTATATTTTAATTTTTTTAAAGGATTGTGATATTATTTAGATTTGAAATTTAAAGATTGAGCTTGATTTTGATAATATTTGAAAGTCAAGGTTTTACAAAAAAAAAAAAAAAATTGACAGGATCTTAATAAATTCAATTGAAATTAAAATTTTTCAAATTAAAAAGAAATTGAATCTCTATATAAAAAATTCAATTCCAAACTTAAAACCAATAAGAAACACAATCAGCAAATCAAATAGAGCAAATACAAAATTTTGAATTTTGAGGGGAACAAAGGAAGGAAGGAGAGTTAAGATTTTGCTTTTGAATGCAAAGGGTGCCGTGTAAATGTTGGAATAAATAAGAAAAAGTAGAAAGGAGCTGATTAGAACTTAAGGCATATCCAAGGTTTATAAATTTGTGGCCCGTATTCTTACGATAACAACTTCTTTGGGGCTTGTGCTAAAATCCAAAACAAGTGAGGCATATCTGCTATTCCATTCATATTTATTTTTTTATTCATTCTATTTATTAGTAGATACATTTTTTACTCTTTTGTTTTTAATTTTTCTTTTTTTATTGGTATATAATTTTTATTAAAAATAATTAAGAAAATAAATTTTGATGTGAATTTTGATTTAGTAAATTTAAGAATTGTAAATGTATTTTGTATGATTATTTTTTTGTGTGATTATTGTTTGTACATAATGATCTTTGACATAAAATAATTTTATTTTCATAATATATTCAATAAATTCGACGATATGATCTTTTTAAGTAAATAAGGAGTTTATCTTGAATACTTTTGAAGTGAAAATTTTTTTTTAATATTTTAAATATTGAAATTAATAATAAATATTTTTTATTAAGGTTTAAATAAAATAACATATGATTAATTTGATATTAATTTTAGGTGTAATGGGATGCTAAATCCTTTCTATAAGTAATTGACTCTCAAACTTGGTTTTATTGATGTAGATCATAATTTATTCTTTTTAAGAACTCTTAATTTAAATTTAAAATAACCTTAAAAATGATAAATTTAATAATAATCAATCACACTTAAATAAAAAAATAGTGATGACTCCATAATTTTTATATTGAATGAGTTAACTTGTAAATTTAAACGTTATGACAGAAAAATCAAGAACTCTCAAGCTGTTTCCTAATTGTAAGAAATTCGAGAATCGCCTTATGTTGCAAGAAGAGAAGGTTAATTCTCGAGCTCGTGGAAAGTAGAGTTAACACTACTGACACTACTCAACGATAGCAACTTATTATTTGAAAGATCAAGTGTTTTAAGATTCTTCAGCTTTGAAAACATATCTGACTTGATGACGCCAGTTAAATTGTTTGATGAAAGATCAAGTTGGGTAAGATTTGCAAGATCAAAAAAAGAACTTGGTATCACTTGATCAAACTCATTAGACAATAACAATAAAAAGATTTTGGTATCACCAAAAATAATATGGGTTCAATAAAATTCAACATAACTGGAAAGTACAAGTTTTCGATATATTGGAAAAATATACATTATGAACTATGTAATCAGCGGCCATTGACCAAAAGTTGTGTTGGTCTATGAGGTATTAAAATTTTAATTTCAATTAATAAATTTCAAATCCTGATAATTTTAGATTAAAAAAAAAAACCTAAGCAACCAGTGATTAAAGAACCAAACGAAAAGAAATTAATCTTCAATAGTCTAATTAATGACATTAAGCAACATAAATAATTAATCAATTGGAGTTCCATAAGCGGAGGTAATACCCAAAGCAGAAGATTTTTCAAAAGAAAGAACAATAGTTGATAGGACAACTCATTAGCATCTCATGGAAAAACACTAAAACAGAACAGAACATAAAGTCGCCAAAAAAACACAACAGTTACAAATTTAGAAATTATGATGACACCCATATGAATAGAGCTAAACAAGCAAAGCAAAAAGACCTTGACTTATAGTACCCGAGTTGCTCAACCATTCAGATTTTCAATGAACAACCCAATTAATTGAACCATTGTCATAGAAAATTAGAAAATTAACATAGATGATAGAAAACATGAACTTTCCAGCCAGGTCCTATGGAAATAGGGTGCGTATCTTCCTCAAATTCAGTTCCATCACCACTGTAACAATATGAAAATAAAAGAAAGATGAAAGGTTAACTGTAGATGACAAAAGAAATGAGAGTCTAATAAAATTCTAAGCACAATAGTTAAAACTCACTTGAGTATTTTGGATGTAGTTTTAGTTCCTTCTTCCTCCATTCCTGCGAATCCATCTCGTAACATTCTTCTGCCATTCTCTCTTAATCGTTCTAACAAACCACCTTGGTCTTCCAGTTGTGAAAACAATGTATTCCATGCTCAATCCCAACACCAATCCACATCCATAGCCCATCATTGCAAGTTTCCAAATAAAGGGTATTGCAGAACCTTCATCTTCCACAAACACTGGTCTAGGTGGTTTTGGTCCCTTATCGTCTCCACATTTCCTTGACAGTGGGACGCCACACAACGCCAAGTTACCGCTATAGGAATCATTGTCAAAAGTATCAAATTGATTCCCATGCGAAATGTGTCCGATAAGATTATTTTGTGACAGGATTAACACTGCCAGAACTGTCAGATTCGTCAATTGGAAAGGAATCCTGCCACCAAGCTTGTTCCACGAGAGATCTAATGATTCAATTGCCGCCATACTTCCAAATGACGATGGGATGGGACCAGTTAGGTTGTAGTGTGAGAGACTGAGCACTAGAAGACCATTAAGTACGCCAACTGCATCAGGGATTCGTCCATAAAATCGATTGTTTGAAAAATCTATGAGTGTGAAACCGCGTAGTCTTTCCTTCAGCTCTAGCTCTATCTCCAACCTTCTCATTGTTCCTTTCACAAAATTATAAACTTCTACATTCAGCATTGGCAAACACTTATGCATAGATATACAAGGGTCGTCAACAATTGGGGGGGATTTTGCCATGAAAATTGTTCATCTGTAGGTTTATGGTTGAGAGAATATAGCTGAAATTTCCAAGGCACGCTGGGATAATTCCACCCAAGTAATTTCTAGACAAATCAAGAGTTTCAAGTGCAGTCATGTTACAAATGAAAGGAGGGATTTATCCTGTCAATTGAATCTTGGACATGAAGAATTCAAGCAATGAAGGTGGCGGAGCTAGAAGAGGACCTTGGGGTAGGTCAGAACGAATATCAAGGATTCTAAAATTCTTCCCTGGAAATTGGTCAAAACTAGTCTGTAGGTTGTGAGAAAGATTTAAAGTGACCAACTGCTTCCAACCTCTGATTCCCACTCGAAAATTGAACCTTGAATTTTGTTATAGGAAAGATCAAGAAATCCCAAGCTTTTCCCTGATCGTAAGAAATTCGGGAATTGCTTTACGTTAAAAGAAGAGAATTTTAAAGTCTCGAGCTCTTGAAAAGTAGAGTTAACACTACTGTCACTATTCAATGACGGTAACTTGTTATTTGAAATATCAAGTGTTTTAAGATTCTTCAGCTTTGACATCTGACTTGATGACGCCAGTCAAGTTAGTTGATGAAAGATCAAGTTGGGTAAGATTTGAAAGATTAAAGAAAGAACTTGGTATTTTACCATGTATGTCATTATTGGCCAAAAACACTCGCTGAACAGAATTAGGCTTTTGAATCTGATTGATTGGACCGGTGATCCTGTTACGATTGAGGCCTAAATATTCTAAAGATGGCAGAGTAAAAAGCCAAGATGGAATTACTCCACTCAACAAGTTATGAGTCATGCGAAATTCTTCCAGATTCTGAAGCCCGCTTACTTGAGTTGGAAGGGGGCCCTCTAGACTATTGAATGATAAATCTCAATGAGTAAGTTGGGTGAGATTGAACGACGTTGAGGGAACTTGACCACTGAAATGATAATGAGAGAAATCCAAAGTAGTTAGTTTATTAAGGTTTCAAAAGACATTTGGAAGTTCTCCTTCGAAGTTGCTCCTAGATAAAATCTAGAAATGTGATTTTTGTGAGGTTACCTAGGGCGGAAGGAATAGACCCTTTCCAACTTGATCTAGGGAGGTAACCTGTCAAATCAGAGTTCAAGCTAAGATTAAGATACTAGAGGTACGGAGGTCAAATATTTCAGTAGGGAATTCCCCCTGTAGTTCACATTCACCGAGACCCAAACGCTTTAGAGATGAAGTCAAGCTTGTTAAGGAGGAAGGCAAAACATCAGACATGTTTACCCATTCAAGGAAAAGATTTTCTAATTCAGACAAGTTATGCATAAGCACGTCAAAACTGCGGCTGTCCAATTTCAAGCCCTCATAAGTATTCTTAGAAAGATCAAGTGAAATCAGTTTTGACAGCAGAGAAATATCAGATGGAACTAAGCCAGAGAAGGAACAACCAGAAAGATTAAGATGCGTCAAACTTACAAACTGACTAAAACCCAGAAGGGATAGAACCATTGCAATTGTTGTACGCAAGGTTGAGCCGTTCGAGTCCTTGAAGAAGGAAAAGGCTGCTGTTTTTAGGAAAAGAGCAACTAAGGTTGAGGCCGATGACATGACTAGTCACATTGTCGCAAGTGACTCCATCCCATGAGCAGCAGTTTGTGGTTTCATTCCAGGAGTTTTGTTTGGGATAAGACGTGAAAGGGCAAGAACAGATATCAATGTCTAATCGGTTTTGGAAATCGTTAGATGAATTTAAAAATAACAAAAATTATTAACAATATTTTTTAATTAGGTATAATTGATCTACTATTAAAATTTATTCTTCTAATAAAATGTTTTAAATTATTAAAATTTTATCAAAAAAATAATTTTTTCAATTTGTGAAAACAGTGTATGTATGAGAGTCGGTTACACATAAAGAAAGATCAACAACTCTATGCCGTCTATTTAAAATAATATCAATTAATTATATGTTATTTTTTAATTACGACTAAAATGATTTTAATTTTGATATTTAAAATTTAATTTTTTTATTGTAGAAAAAACATATTTATTATTTTTTAAATTTTTTTATTTTTGAAAAATAAATAAGAACTTTGCGTATTAAAATTTTTTTAAAAATATTTCAATATTTTGATAATATTAAAAGAAACCTTCTTACTTAAGGATCCCTTAAGAATCTCTACTCGAAATTCTTAAAAATTCGATGGTTTATATTTATCATCAAAATTTATTTTTAATAAACATATTATAAAATATGATACCCATAATTTAAAATCAAAGAATATTTTCTAAAAATTTATTTCTTATGTCATTTATAAAAAATGAAAAATATTTATTGAAAATTATTCTAAATGCTCCAATTAATACATTAGTGGTATCTTAGATAACTTTTTTTACCTAAAGATTCATAAAAAATCAATACTCAAACTTCTTTAAAACCTTAACCTTGAAAATCTTTCGTTTATTTTTTTTTATATCATTATCGATATTTAAAAGTTATGCGATGATTATCAATAAAACTATTTATTTTCAAAAAATGCATACTATAGTAAATCATTTATATATTATTTATTTATTTATTCATATATTTATTTTAAAGAAATTTATTCAAATTAAAGAAAAAATAAAAATTTTTGTATCGAAAATAGTTTCTAAATATTCAAATACTTTGGTAATTTTTAAAAATCTTTTCTCACTTAGAGAATTTTCAGAAATTACTACTTGGATTTCTCGAAGTCTCATCATTGAAAATTTCATTTATATTTATAATTGTTACATCTGAAATATGATGCACATGAATTAATTTTTGATGCTATTGTGTTACATAAAAGTTTATTTTTAGAGGTGAAAAATAAATGAGAATTTTTGTATTGAGAATCATTTTAAATATTCCAATTCTTTGATGATATTTTTAGAAAAACTCTCTCACTTAAGAAATTTTCAAGAATCATTATTCGGACTTTTCGAAGTTCCATCATAAAAAACTTGTGATACTTTTAAAATTATGTAATGCAAACAATAAAGTAGAATATGCACACGAAAACAATATATATTACTTATTTTCTTTATATTATTTTTTTTGTTACTCATTTTAATTTTGTTTTAATCTCTTAATTATTTCATCATCATTATTAAAAATTTTGAAAGAAATAAATTAAATAAAATCTCTTATTGAAAATTTTTTCTAAATATCCTAATACTTTAATGGTATTTTAAAAGAATTTTTTCATTTAAAAATTTATTAGAAATCTCTACTCGGACTTTCTTGAAATCTTATTTTTGAAAATTTCGTTTACTTTTTGCTTTCTCATTTAATTTTATTCTAATTTTAATTTTTAGTTTTGATTATTATTTTTAATGAACTAAAATTTGTAAAAGATAAAATTAATTAATCACAATATTAATTTTATTACTAAAAGAGTAATTATATATTATTTTATTATTATTTAATATATTTTTTGGAAACAAAATGAATAAAAATTGTTTGTATTAAATATTTTTTTAATACTCTGTTACTTTGATAGTATTTTTTTAAAAAATATTTTCACTTAAAGATTTTAAAAAATCACTATTCGAACTTTCTTAAGTCTTATCATTGGCAATTTTCATTCAATTTATTATTATTAATACAGTGTTTTATTGCATCAAGCTAGAGTATATAAAGTATGAATTGCATTAAAAATTGATAGCAAAAAATATTAATTTGCATGAAGTTAAAATAAAAAATTAAATAACCGAGAGATTATAATGCATAAGGCTCAAAATTTAGTTACTAGAATATCATGAAAGAAGTGAGTGTGGACATGATGAGATCTATATGAAATCAATCAAGAGCAGATTTGTTTTCAACCCTATGCTTTAAAGTTTTCTTATATTAATAAACCAGGAGAAAAAAGTATGAAAATACAAAGCCTTATTCGACCTCTACCTACGTATGCCACCTTTACACCCTATTTTAGATTAGACAATACTAGGATGAGATAATTTGACAATGTAACAGCTCTCTAATAGCCTAGACCCCATTATTATTTTGCAAGGTTTCTAAAATCCTTAAGGAATTTTCTCTGCAAACTAAAACCCAGAAGAGAAACCCAAAAGGTGAACTTCCCAGGCGATGAAAAGGACGAAAGCTGGGTTTGGAAACCCCCTCCCCCCCCCCCCGGCTTTTTTTTTTTGTTTTTGCCACCTCTTGAAAAGTTGTCGGATTCTCCATGCTAAGCTTTCATTTATTAAAAGATAGAAATAGGAAACCAGAAAACATGGATTACCGACCAGGAAGTCTCAAGCCTTCATAAGCATCAAGAAAAAAACGCCGCCCCCCATGAAGAATAGTGTTTTTATGTTGTTCTTTACCTTTTCGAACTAAAACCCCCTAAAACAAATCTTTGTTTCGCATTTTGGAAGGCCGACATCAGTAGCTAAACTCGAAATAGCATGACCTAAGCTTGCCCACAAGCAAACAATATATAGAGAAAACAAACCATCAAGTAATGGATAAGTCCATGCTTTAAACTTCCCTAAACGAGCAAAACAACAGGCTTGAGCATGAAAAGAAAAAAAAAATTAAAATCCCCACTTACAGATTCTGCGCAGGAGAACGAATTTGTGCAAAACTGGATGAAGCTGTAGGCTTCTCATGACCAGAACCAAGTTGTAACTTCTTACGGTAAACCAATGCAAGGAAGAAGAAAAGAAGAAAACATGAACAAGAGAAATGAAACCATAGGATCCAGCAGTAAACCGTGCACAGAGGGAATTATACACATAGACTGCATACTAAAATAAAGAATAGTTCAAACGTTATTGGATAAACTGTACGCAAGAATGCTTAATAGGTAGGCAAAACAAAAATAAAAATAAAAATAAATAAACGGGACAACAGGTGCAAAGAAAAAAACACACATGACAAAAACAAAATGGAGTTTCAGTCTAAGGAATTGAGAAAACTAACACCAAAGGAGTTACCTTTTCAAACCTCTCCCAAGACCTTTTCGTGCTATGCTTCTTTTCTCTTTTCAGTCAAAGCCTTTCC